AGGTTTATTTTTTTCAAAAATACTTCTAATAATAAAATCTCTGTTTGTTCTTTTAAAATGGCGTTAGATAAAAGAAGTGGATTTTTATTCAATGTCCGGTTCTCTGGGCTAAATTTTTGGAATTGGGTTCTTTAGAATTAGTGGAAATCGTAATTTTTGTGTGTATGTAACACTATTTTCTCAATTCTTTAAAAATACTATAGTCTGGAGGATTACAAATAGAGTGAAAATTCACCTTAACAGTAATATGTTTTTGTTTATTCCAAGAACATACATATGTAAGTAAATATCACATCAATAAGTTCAACAATAAACAAAAACAAATTTTTCGTTATCGCATTTTATGTTTTGAATAAAAAAATAGAAAATTTAAAAGAAGAAATGTAACAGATCTTTTTCGGTTTTTAAATTAAAGATTTTTATTTCTGACACGAATTACAAATTTTCTCTTTGCCTTTAAACATTTTTTCACGCATTCAATTTACATAGGTACGTAGTACCTTCAATAGCAAATTATTTCTAATACGAAAATAATGTCTCTAATAATCTTACTCAAATTACCACTAATTATTTTATTCAAGTTTAGAAACATGTCAAAATTCCTGAAAGGTAGTTTTTTTTAATAATGTTAAACCTAGTCCAATTTAGACAGAGACGTCATTTGTTATTTGCATCCGCAATATCAGCAAAATTTGTTTCAAAAATTTAAAAGTGGAGAAGCCGATAAATGATAACCAAAAGGGGACATTACTAATGAGACTATAATAGTTTGGATATTAATTTTTTCTTTGCAAATTGTGAAGTTAGCCTATGCCCTTTTTTATTATTTTTAGGTATACAATTATTACATTTTGTACAAAATGTGGTAATTAAAAAAAGAAGCCGAAAACGGAAACCATCCAAATGTATTAATTAACATTTGTTCCATTATGCGGAATCAACTGTAGCTCATTTATGTATTTCATTATGAGTTGGTTCATTACGGTTAATATATCTATAACATTCTCTGCAAGCCTTCCATCTTGTCTTCGCTTTATGGCCATTTCCTGTAAAGCTTCATGATTACAAAGAACCTTTTCAGTTCATTTTTTTTTGAAAAAATCTATTATTATCAACAGATTTAATATATTCATTACTTATTGTTAATATGTACATTATTGAAAATCTATTATGCTTGTTCATAGTTCAAATTGAATTCTGACAAAGTTATTTGTAATAACAAAGTATGTAATGTAATCACCTGCGCGGTTATTTAATTAATAATGGGGAAATGCTTCCCGTTAAATACTCAAAATGTAGTTTTAAAATTTTTCTTTTTAAATCTTAATGTACAAGTCTTGTCAAAAACCAGAAATTTGCTATGCATATCTTCTTGAAAACCTAAAGAAAGTTAAAGTAAAATAGCGGTAATGTAAACACGTGCATATGTTAATTAGCAGTTGGAACATTAATTTTTTCTTTATCAAGTTCTGGAGTTATGGATTTATAAACGTACAAGTTTAGGTAGATTATTGAATTAGATTTTGCTTTCAGTACATTTACTCTTTAAAAAGTAAGATACTTATACAATGCTAAAACTGCGTTGCTAGTTAATTAAATCTAAATAGATCATTTAGTTAAGCGTAAGGGTTTCATTAAAAATGTGACTAAGTTACAAAGAAAACAATTTTTGACATTTCGTATAAGAGTCGTTTTTTTGTGATCATGGAGTTAGTATCAATGAATGATGATGTTTCCATCAAGATATTTACGCTTTCCTTCTATGGAGAAGTGCGTTTCCTCCGACATCAGAAATTTGGTGCTATAACATACTCGGTAAAAATCGGTCGGTAAAAATATATTTTAAGATTGTGCATTTTTAAAGCTTTAAAGTCAAATTAAAAAATTAACAAAGTTAAATCATAACAGAAAGAGATAAATCATAATAAAACAAAATATTAAACAATGTATTTCTATTGTGTTGTTTGCAATTTACATAGAATGAATCTTCCTGCTGAAACCCTTACGCTTAACTAAATGGTAGTGTATAATATATACATACATACATAGGACAAACATAATCATATTAGGTATTCGTGCATTTATTTATTTTGATTTCAGTTTTGAAAAGGACGAAATTTTTGCAATTATGTACTTATATTAAAAAGCAAAAGTTGTTAAATTTAGTTTATATATTTTTTGCTGCATTAGGTAAAGAAATTTAAAAATGAATTTTCAAAAGAGCAAAACATGTTTTAAATCCGATGTAAATTTAAAGTTTAGGAAATGCTATTTGTTAAAGAAAATTAAACGGTTCGATGGTCTTTGCTGTGAGCATTTTTTTAAAGGAAATTTATATACATACATACATATGTACATAAGTACATAAGTACTTGCTTTACAAAAATAAGTACTTAATCATTATATTAGAAAATTGCCAAGCCATATGTATGCTATTTACTATTATTTAATTAATTGTAAAAAATAACGAATTTTTGAATAGTTTTTAACATATGTATGTAAATGTTTTATATTTTTGAATTCGTCGTGTAAAAGAAAAATAAAAAGAAATTATGAATGAAAGTAAAAAATTTTTAACGCTTCTCTAAAATTGTTAAAAAAAAAAAAAACAAACTACTGCGATGCGTAATGGAAGTACTAATACTACTTGAATGTGTTTCATAATATTGCAATCAGACCTACACACAAATATTATTATAATTTACAAACTAAGCTACAAAAATTATTACACTAATACATTTATTCATGCTCTCACACACATTTTACTTTTTTGTTTCTCTGTGTTTATTTCCCCTTAATTAAATTTCTGTAGACTATCAGGAACACAGTTTACAAGTGAAACGAAAGCCGGCTTTGTTAGTATGAGTTGTGGCACGTGGATTTTTAAATTTTTTACAGTAGAATTTAAATGTTCAAAAAAGTTAAATATGGGTTAGTGAGAAATTAAATTTAGAAGATACTATTGCAAAAGAAGCACTATTTACAAATATAAGGCATATTAAGTATTTGAGTATCAGATTTTTTTAAAGTTATTATTTTTTTAAGTTAAAGCATTTGTAAGTTTTTTGAGTTTCAAATTCAAAAAAAAGTACTAACCACTTCTACTTTCGTGTTCATAGTTTATGTGTACGTACATAGAAAGTTAAATTTGTTTTCAGTAAAGTTAAAGTACATCTATTACAATTAATTAGTAAGATACACTATTTTAGAAATTTGCAGACTAATAATTTAATGTTGGGTAAAAATTTCTTTAATTCACTATGTTTTTTTAGTATTAGACATACATACCTATAAGATGAGATTACTTTTATACATGTACCAAACTCAACTTTGGTGTGCTACTAAAATATCAAGGTTTGGACCTCTCTCTTTGCTAACGAAAAGACATTTCTGAGTAATAGTTTTTTTCCTTTTTTTACCCGTACGAACGTATTTTTGAAGGGGATAGTAAATTTGTCTTACCGTTTGTTACACAAAGAAATAATGGTTTGGGATATAGACTCAAGTGTATGTTTTTCATCAGCGTCAAATTCTGAGTCGATTAAGTTTTGTGTGTCCGTTCGTCCGTCCGTGTCAACGAAAACTCAAAAACTAATTTAGGTAAGTTCATCAAATTGTCACAAATTATTTATTATAGTCCCTATGTCAGAACCCTATTTAAATTGGTTATGATCGGGGTACTGGTTCGGGTACCTGCCATACAACTTCAAAATTTATTTCGCTATATCTCACAAACGAATTCACACAAACGAATGTATTAATAGGACCAATGTGTTCGATAACAGTTTTTAAAATTTCTTTACTCCTTGTGGTAGCTGCCTTGCAACTTTAATAGTAGTTTGACCATATTTTAGAAAATATTGAAATCACAGTACTGATATTTTGCTTAAATTAATATGGTAATACGGCAACATAAATGGTAATATGACTGTCCCACAGTCAGCTATGACATATTTACTCGCACATAAGATAACAAATTCGTTCGGGTATCACAAAGTTGACACGGTCAACTCTATTTTTTCTCGTTTTTTTTAATTTTAAAAGAAAACTTTTATTTAATAAAAATTCTATATAAAAAAAACTGTGTAAACTAAGTTTACTAACGTTGATATGTATATGTGAGAGTATATAAATATACATATATTTGGGAGATTTCATAATACATAATAAACTTTTTTAAATTTGAAAAACATAAAAAGGTTAACTTAATTAATAGTGCACAAAACAATTTGTCTGATTTTTTTCCTATAGTGTAGGGTTTTTTGCACTATACCAATTAAAAAATTTTTGAAAAAATGGGCCTATTAGTTTCACTCTGTCCTTCCGTCCGTCTCTTTACAAAACTTACACACCCTTAAGATAGAACGCTGAAATTTTATATGTACATAGATCTTTACTAGAAAATTATTTCTGTAAAGAAACTAGAAAATTTACTAGAAAATTATTACATGTAACTGAAAATGCTGACGAAGTTACAAAAATTAAAAAAAAATGCCTTGTTTAAAAAAAGACTATTATTAAAAAATCGTTAATTAATTTAGAGGTTAATTTGTTTTTAACTAATACAATCAATCGGGTTGATCTGTAGTCAGGTGGATAAATCTTTCACAAAAACAACCCGAGCAAAAATTAAAATTCCGAATTACTTGCCTGCGATTTTGATGATTTGCTTGTAAATTATAAGTGTAAAGCTAAAAGAAAATCCATTAAAGTAGCTCAAAACAATTTTCAAAACATTATCTTAAAACTATTACGGATTAAAATTACATTACGTGTGTATAAAACACGAAGATTATATTTTCATTGAATGACAGAAAAAGGTTTACTGCACTCCCTTATATGATGGTATACAAAGAATTAGAAGGTGGTATACTGATGCAACTTTTTCTAAATAGAAGATTTATTTAAATAAGATTCATTTAAATTAATACATTGCAAAATTTGAAATAAATCATTTAAATCTCTAGGAATTTCTTTTATATATTTTTTTTATATTTTAGTTAAAAATTGATCGAATGAAACATGTCACGTAAAAACTATTGAACTCATTATTCCAGTAAAAGCGTAGCAATTTTCTAAAAGGTGTTTAAAAAAAAAAAACTATGGATAAAAATGGTGCTGACGGTGGAAATGACAAATCTGCGGGAAAATCTGGAGGAGCTGGCCATGATCCGTCGTTACTAGATGCAGCTTCTCTTTTTGGTAATAAAAACATATAAATAGTAAAAAAATATATATGTACATGAGTAAAAAAAATTTAATGTAAGATTATAATTTGGGTTTACATATTACTTTGGTATTTGGGTTTAGAATACTCAAGTCTTCTAGTTAACCAAATATTAAATATTTTATTACGTTTATTCAACAATGGAAAGAAACAACAATTCTAAAGGAGAAATAAATTTTTTTTCAGCTTACTGGAATCGTGATCCTGCTGCAGCAGCAGCTGCTGCTGCGTCCAATCCATTGTTTTCATCACAATTTGGAGCCGCAGCGGCAGCTGGATTAGGCTTATTGCCAAATCCAAGTTCAGGTAGTGATAGATATTCTATGGCAGCAGCAGCTGCGGCTGCTGCTGCTGGACATCATCATTCCAACACAATGGCTGTAGCAGCTTCACAAGCTGCGAGTCTAGCTGGGTTGCATCCAGCTGCAAGTGAGTAATATTCTATTACATAATAAGAACATCGAAATATCAACCTGAATAACATAAAAAATTAATATCATTAGGTTGGTGGTCCATGGCTCAATTAGCAGCTGCTCAAGATTATTTTAATCGCTTACAAGCATCTGGGTTATCTCAGTTTGCGCATCCTGATTTATCTACAGCTTTTCCAGGTGGACTTGCGAGTTTAACTGCAATCGGCGGCGTGGGAAGTGGTAATCCTGGAAATTCCGGCAACTCGGCTAGTGGATCTTCGAATTCGAAGTCGAATCAAAAACAGAATCGTAAAGAAAAACGTCAACAAGCTCCAATTGCGAATAATATAAACAATAGTGCAAGTAGTTTACATAATTTAGGATCAAATACCACTATAACACCAACGTCGTCTACTGGAACATCTAATTCTTATAAAGTAAGTCCGTAATGTTTTAGTTTTTTTTTTGTTGAAAAGGAATATTAAAATCTAAATATTTAGTCATCTTATAATAAGTCAACAATGCAATCAAATATGACGACACCTCCAGTATCAATATCTGCTTATAACCCAGCTACTTTACATAAGGAATTGTTGGCGATGCAAGCTGCTGCTGTATCAGCTGCTCAACAACAGCAAAGTTCTTCGAAAAAATCACATCATTCTCAACAACTAACTGGAATTTCATGTGGTTCAAGTGGAAATATTAATAATAATACCAGCAATAGCAATAATAATAATATTAATAATAATAATAATAATAGCAATAATAATAACAATAATAATAGTAATAATAATAATAATAACAATGGTAACAATAACAACAACAAATCTTCATCATCATTGTCATCTTCACATCATCATTCGTCTACATCTCTTAATAGTCACCATAGTTCAATGTATTCCAATTCTTCTGGTATTACGGGGAATAGCAATCGTACTAGTAATAACAGCAGCTCGAAAGATCGCATCAATGATAAAACATCTCAGGCACAGGCATCTTTAAATGCTCTTAATTCCTTATCCCAGTTGGGCACCTTGGGTCTTACATCTCAGCAAAGTGTACAAGCTGCCATGAATGCTTTAGCTGCCAATTCAGATAAGGTCAAGGATTACATGCCTCAAGGAATTTTAAGGTTAGTCTTTGGTTTGTAAAAGTCTATGTATATACTAATTTGGATAAAGAATAACTTTATGATGGAAAGTATGGCTTAAAAATTAGACAAATACAATTTAAATTATTTTGTTTTTTACAGCAATAAAGTATATTTTAATACTTTTTGTTGTATCTTAGACTTTTTAAAAATTTACGAATAAAAAAAATGAGTTATAGGTTGAAATATGCATGCGTGGTATAATTAAATAAAATGGATTATTACTTCACACTAGTTGTAAAGAAGCTATACTTTTCAGCATTTCTATGATATTTTATTTCGGTTAATTCATATATTGCAAGTTTTTATAATTTATTTTTATTATTACTCTCTTTTCCGTGCGCCATGATATCCGAACATTGTTTTTGTGAAAAAAGTGCTGCATTGGAAGGAAAGTAAGCTTCCTTGTATCATTGTTTTAAAAGATAAATTCTAGTTTAATTTTTGATTTTGAAAATTAAAGAGTTTTGTGGAATTGGTCTAATATAAATAAAAATTATAATCTTATAATATAATGTTTATGTACATGTAGTTTGTATATATCATTAGTTTTTGACATATTTTCTTTTTTGCAAAGTTATAATTTACATGAAAAACAAAGCTCGAGTGTATTCATGATCAATATAAAGAGAAAAGTTGAGAAAAATGTAAAAGGTCTGTTTCCCTGAAAAATGGAAAATCACATCGTTAAAGTGAATGTTTGAAATTTTTGAGGTGTATTTTGATAAAAATTCAGTTCTCCAAAAATTTTATACGATGTACATACATAATAAGTATTGTGAAAAAATTCTCAATTCCTTCTTTTTTTTAAATCGTGAGTAAAACAGCTTGTCAAGAAAACCATCTCCCGCTAGAAAAAAAAGAAATCAAAGGATTTGTTTAGGATTTCACGAAAATTCTTTCTGAAGTATTTAGATACTAGATGATTTTTTTAGATATAAATGATTCAGTTTAAAAACAAATCAAGAAAAATAACAAAAAAAGTTGATGCTGTCAAAAAAACGAAAGGGAAAAGATTTTCTTAAATAGAAGAAAAATATAAATTAATTTTCGGTATTTTTTTTCTTGTTTTCCTTTGAACAAAAAAAATAAATTTGTAATAAACTATTATTTAACGAAATATTTTAAAAGCCAACAGTTTAATTAAAGAAAAGTGAAATTGTTATAATTACACTAATTCAAATTTATATAAGCACGCGATGACTGCAATTTCTATTTCTAGTGGAAAAAGGTTTTTCTGAAAAATTGTATATACATATACTTAATGAAAAAAGTAGGTTTTATTGATAATCAGGAAGCAGATGTTTTACAATTTTATAACAAAATTATTTATCTCTTATTTAATTTATGTATGTATATTTGACTTACTTTAATTAAAATAAAAATTTGTTTCTTTGATAAAATGACTGCAGTGATCCATCATCTCTGTTGGGTGTACGACTACCACCGGACACGGAAATCATAAAGTATACGTCCTCAATTGTTGGTCCAAAAATACCTGGTACAACAAATCGTGGTCGCAAAAAGACAATATCACTCGATCCAAATCCTCTCCTTGCATTTCCAGGCTTGAGTCCAGCGAAGCGAAGCCGTCTTGAAATGGAGTATGCAGCGGTTATGGGACAGGTAGTTGCCGCACAACAAGCAGCAGCCCAAGCAGCAAGCAACAATAGTAGTAATACATCGCAGAACTCAACCCAACAACAATCACACGCAAATTCAGCCTCGTCAGCAGCGGCCGTAGCAGCGTCTTCAGCAGCTGTTTTAGCTGCAGCAATGATGGGAACTCATAACTTGGGATCCACTGTGACGTCATCATCATCATCTTCATCGGGCAACAACAGCTCAACAAACCTTAGTTCACATGGTTCTAGCTCACAACTTTCAATCCGTGATAGAGATAGCCATCGAGATAATAGTTCTAGTAACAGTCGCAATGATAGGCGCAGCGATAGAAATATTGATAAAGATCGAGGTTTTGATAATTCCAATACCGATCGGGTGGAAGTAATAAAATTGCCTCCCACTATTACGTCAAATGGCGCATATAATCTATCGAATAAAAGTAGCAGTCAACTTAGCATATCAAAAGATATCGATTCTGAATCAAGTGGCATTAATTTGAGCTTTAAGAGCAACACTTCAAGTTTTATCGATGATTTAGATGCACCTCTTAATTTGTCAATGAAACCCTCTGATAAAGCTTCTACAAATAATGACTTTTCAACGTCTAGTAATGAAAATATCGGTGGTACAAGCAGCTTGCAAAGCTTAAGCTCAATAACAGCAGCTCTTGGAAACTCAAATTCTAGCGGACAATCTACAAGTGGAAGTAGTCATTCCGGAAATAACAGTGATAGAAGTAGTTCAAGCCACAAAGAGGGACGACCAAGAAATTTGGGACGTGGAGTTTCTAAACCCAAAAAAAATACAGTTGCATCATTACTAGCTCAAAGCCGAGCTGTTGGTATAAAACCAATGCTGGCAACACAGCAATTATTACAACAGGGAGCTGATTTGGTTAGAAAATAAATTTATTTTATTGAAGTCAACTTAAATAAAATGTATGTAAATATTTTATTTATAGGAAAAAATTAGACAAGTTTTGGAAGCAAATTCACAAATTGATGTTTCAACTGATTCAGAAAGTATTGCAGCTGAAAGTGGTTTATCAGAATCTGAATCTGAAGATCCGAATATAATAAATTTGTCTGAATTAAGGGTTCCCTTAGATATGGGTTGGAAACGCGAAACAATTATACGCGGTTTAACAAAATTAGGTCAGATTCGTGGTGATGTTTGTTATTATCCACCAAACAGTAACACAAAATTAAAAAATGTTGGACAAATTTTAACTGTAAGTAAAAAAGAAATATAGTTAAACAAACTATTTTGTTAAACAAACTATCTTCTGAATCGTAGCACCTAGACAAAAACCCATCAAAGTTAAATCGAGACAACTTTAGTTTTTCATCACGTGCTATAATTGGATCGTTTTTACAGCCTGCTCCACCGCCATACGCTAATGATGGCGAATTTATTAGAATGTCCGATATTGACGTTGCTAAGAGATTGGAAGATTTAAAAATGTTTACTCGCCAAAATTTGAATGTCGAACAGCGGATTGAAATTGCTAAACAGCAACAAGCAATACGCGATGCTAAAAAACTGGCCAAAGAAGAGATGGCTAGAAGCAAAGAAAAAGCAAGACAAGAAAAAAATGAAAAGCTAGAACAACAACGAAAAGAACGTGAATTAAAAAATCAACAGGCTGTTGAGGTGAGAATAATATTAATAAAAAAATAAATCTGTGACATCTAAATCGTTTCAAATTTTAATTAATTATTGAATTAAAATTTTGAAAGCTTAGGTAAAGTATACTCAAATGTTTCGATGCACGGTTTGCTTTATTCTTGCTTCTATTTGGCGTTTACTAAACTTTTTGGATCAGTCGGCGTCATAAAAATTTTTGAGTTTACAATTTGGATCATAAAACTTTGTTTTGCATTTACTTGCAATATGTATGTCACAGAATCTTAAATCTTTTATTGCACTTAAATCGACAATATGAATTTTAAGAGCACTATACATAATTTGTATAACATTTTTAGGCTCGAAAGAAAAGACAAGAGGAATTGGAAAGAATGAAGCAAGAAGAAATTTTAAAGAAGCAACAGGTAAATATTTATTTCATAATCTATGTTTGCTAATCAAATAACTATCTGCAATGCTAATATGTTTAAAAAAAATTAAATAACATAAAAAATTAGTGAGGGTTTGCATACAAAAAAAATACAGTTTTAAAACATTAAAAGAAACATCAATTTATTTAATGTTTCAGGAAAAAGAAAAGAAAAGACAAGAAGCTATTATAGCTAAAGAACAGGTATAGTCTAATTTTTATATTCTAAATAATATCAAATTATAGTGATAATATAGTCATTTTGTTAGTTAAGAAACATGCAATATTCAAGAACTTAGAAAGGTTAAATCATTATATTTTTGTTTTTTGCTTTGATTAAACACATATATTTTTTTACGTGGTCAATATTTCATTTTTAAATATTATTGTGTCAAGAAATTGGTTATACTAAATAATAAGAATTCTTGTGTACATTCATATATTCGAATAGTTAAAATATATAAAAAATTTAATACAATGTTATAAATTAAATTACTTTCCATTCAAATAAAAAAACGGCTTCAATATTTAAAAAAAAAACGCTTTTATAGTCTAAAACTCTAAAACATTTAGAAGTAAACATCAGTAACATTTTTTACTTAAAACAAGTTTATCAAGATTAAAAATTATCAAATAAATTATGTTTGTTCGATTTCTTTAATAAATTTTACTAATATTATCCTAGGCTTATGATGTTTTTAATGATCAAACTATAATGCATTAAAATGGAAGCGATAATAAAGTTTTATTCCTTTTAAAAAGGAATAAAACCTTATTACTATACCTTCTAGGAAGGAATAAACAGCCGCGTCAAGAATTTCGATCATTGCTCCGAATTTCGGAAAATTAGGAATTTCCTATTCTGAATTACTAAAATTCTAGTACGATATTCGTAATAGAGTGATCATAAATTACGTTCGTAGTGAAAATAATTCTCAAAAGTTTACCGTTGTTTTAAATTTTCAAGTTTTTAAGTTTTTGTTTGAATTTGAGTTCTACCAACATAGCTACCATGAAAGGAAATGAATTCATATTTGCAAAAAAAAAAAAAATTGTTTTTCAAAAATACTTAAATCCAAAAAAATCTCCGTTTTTAAAAATATTCTCTTTTATGAAAGTTGTGTACTTAAATAGCAACAAAAAACATAAATAATAAGTTGAAATTAAATACTGATTTTGACAATCCAATAAATTTTGTTGCCATTGCTGGTTCATTATCTCTACGAAAGGAATTTGTGATCATTTAAAAGCCTACACCGTAGCTAAGTTCATAATTCGTAAGATTTCGTATTGTTTTGTAATTGGCATGTCCGCGGAGACAACTTAGATGTTGGAATTTTCACTTAACGTATTCGCAGCAATTCAATAATTGTTGCCACTTGCTATTCACTTTTAGGGATGAAGGTTATGCAATAACGTACTTGGATCATATAATAAATGTATTGAAAAAGTACTAATGATTGATTGCATAGTCCATAATGTAAATAAGGTTTATTTTTAGAAATTTGGAAAACATTACGGCACCCATACATCGTCTCATGATACACAAAATAAAATATGTAAAGTAAAGCAGTCCTGTTTGTAAACACTATAACATTAATTTCAAAAAATTGTACTGAAATATACACAGTGTCAATTATATAAAATATTTGTCAGATCTGTTATTACATTAATATTACATAATTTATTTCTGAAAATAATTTATTGTTAGTTTTTTCTTGTTTCTCTGAAAAAAGACTTTGTTTGCGATTCGTGAAAATAAGCGAAAAATCAGAAAAAATTTTATCAAAAGAAAAATTAATTTACATTTATTTAAAATAATTCAATATCAGTGTTAGTGAAATTTATCTATATATTTTCCCATAAAATGTTAGTAAATGTTTCCCATAAAATGTTGTTCAAAAAGCAAATATTCACCCTTATGAATATATCCCGAAGCCTTAATATTGTTTGAAAGCTTTTGAATCCGTGTGAAAAGGACGTGTTAATATCAGGTTTGAAATTTTTAGCATAGATTATTATTATAACAATCATTATCGCTGTTATTTTTGTTATAATTCAGTCATTTTAAAGTTTGAAATATTAATGTGTATATTTGAATAATAAGATGTGCAATATTTTGCAAAAGTGGGAATTGAATTAATATTTTATATCTCAAGTATTATTCAAAAAATTGAAATGTGAAGATATGATTTTAGAATAAAAAAATGACTAATATTTATAAGTTCATATTATATATAATTTTTTAATAACATTAAAAAGCAAAAAAGTTTTAACTTACACGCAGAATTTTCTGCAGGAACTCAACAAGCAAAAGGAATTATTGTATCAAATTGAGCTGGTATGATTACTTTTTTTATAATTTTTATAATGAAATAAGTTTTTAAATTATGTACATAACGTAGAATGTATGTTTAAAAATTTCACAGATAACTAATTATAACAATAATTTAAGTTTACTATTTTAAAAATATTTTTTTTCACTTTTGAATGCAACTCGTAAACTTTTAAATGTTATTGTCTTTTTCAAAATTTTCTTAAAAATAAGAAAATGAAATAAAAATCTCAGGGTTTTAAATACTTATACTATTCATATAAAAAAAGTAGCGCGGTTTTTTGTAAAATTTTAATCTTTGCTTTTACCTAGAATGCTATAGTAATTATTTAAATTACTACTTATCTTAGATATCCTTTAAATCCTACGTCTTAACTACTTTAAGTAATTCTACTTATTTACTACTTATATATTTTCAAGATCAGTTGTGTTCAAAGTTGAAAAAATATAAAATTAATGCTAAAAATGGGCTATTCAGATATGACGCAATGCTTACGTTTAAAAGGCAGAAGACAATTCGACAATTCATGATTTCGCTATAAAAGAATATTTAATATTTATAAGAAGGAAAAGATATAAATATACAAAAAAATACATATACATATATTATACCTTTTTTATATGTAAACATAAGAAGAAAAAAATATCCATAATGTATATGTTGCATCTTTTTTAAATATAATATTTATATTTACATATAAATTTAGTTTTCAAACAAGAGTTGATCTTAAAATTTAAATCTTAATTGGAAAAAAATCTCTGGTTTCACTTTCCTGTTGTTTTATTGTTATTATGCGTTATTATTTGAATAGGACTGTTTAGTTTTATTTTTTTTTGTCATTAGTATTAAATCATATAGTTTTGGACATGTATACTAGTATTTATAAGGAAAATTAAATATTTCTTAAAATAGTAAGAGTTGTTTTACTTTAAATAGGAACGTGAAAGGAAAAGACAACATATGTCCTGGGTAAGACAATTAGATAATCGCCGTAAATTTGAAGAACGGGAAAAGAAAAAGCATCAACTTGTGTTGGATAGATTAATATTAAGAGAAAAACGTGTAGCATCTAGAAAAAGAGACGCAGAGATCCTTTTAGAAATCCGGTAGGTTTCTTATTACTTACAAAATGGAAACATACATATAATAAAGCGTTTTAATTATACAGAAAGCCTATGGAAGATTCAGAAATCGTCGATCAAGTCGATTTGCCCGAGTTTAAACGCCTAACAGGTTGTCGCTTGCCAGGGCAAGCAATGGCTGACTTATTAATGGTA